AAAATATCTTACAATCTTCCTTGCTCCTTCCTTATGTCTAGAGGCCAATTCTAAACTAGAAAAGAGCTTAAATTAAAAAAATTTTTAAAAATAGATTAAATAGATTTATTAATGGGATTGTACAGCTCTGAGGTGCAACCTGTGGGCCAGATGCAGGTGCAGATTTAGGCACCACAAAACACTGGATAATAATGGTTAGGGGCTCAGTTTCTCAACCCTGGGCAGCTGCAGTGAGAGCAGATGCTGGCAGTGAATAAAGATGTTGCATTTTGGTCTGTGCTGCTATGCTGTGATGGGCAGAGCCCCTCTCCCTCCCCAGGCAGGCTCTGTGCTCAGCAGGGCTGTTATCAGATTGTGGCAGCTCCTTTGCTGCTCCAGCTCCAAAACAAACCTGATTGCCATCTGCAGCACCTCTCTCAGCGGCGTCACCCCTCTGAAGGACATCAGCAGGATCTCAGTGAGAAACTGAGATTTTCCCCAGCTGGACCAGCAGGTCACTTTTAACCTGTTTTCTGTTTTCTGAGTTTCTAAAAGCCTCCTGTAACAAGAGGTTCGTGTGGTGTGAACACAGTTCATCCCTTATGCAGCTTTTGATGGATGCTGGGGGAGCCGGCAATTCCTTCAGCCACGGGAACCAAATCTCTGTGATCAGCAGCCACTTGTCTCCAAGGCTTATTTAAGTCTAATCACACAGTCAAAGCTGGGCACTGGCCTCAGCTTTTCAGGAGGAGCAGCTGAATCGAGTGGGCAGGAGCAGAGACTGGCACCATTTGTTGTGGGAGGAAATAAGAGCACGGGAGGATCTACAGAATGGATTTTGCAGGATGCAAAATTGGGTGTATGACCCATTGGATTCTCCAATGGGTAGCAAAAAGGACTGAAAATACCCCCAAATGTATAGGTTTGAAGGGTTTGGGGTTTTTCTTCCAGTCAATTTCCCCTTCCTAGTTTTTAAAGTGGAGACCCAGGCAGAAGGAAATCCTTCTCCACCAGGAGAAAGGATGGGAGAACCTGTTGATACCTCTGCAGGACTTGCTATAAATACCTGACAGGCACTGTGTGATGTGTTTAGAGGAGAAATCTCTCTTTAACAGGCAAGTTCCTGAAATTCTAGAAAGCCTTTTGGTACCTGATGACCAAACTGGTGCCACAGGGCACCACACACAGCGACGTGCCCGGTGTGGAGAGTCTCACCTCACCTCTGCCGTGGGGCCCAGCCACCAGCAGCCTCTGCAAACCAGATGGGCAGGGAATTTTTTACCCCAGCAGTGCTTCTCCTGCTCATCAAAGACACAAGCAGTGGAAGGAGAATTGGTTCCAACCCAAAGAAACCAGAAATGAGCAGCAAATAAAGACCAAGCGACCGCCCTGGCAGGTGTCTTCTGCGTGGCACAGGTTTATAGTTAGCAATGCGGTTTGTTTTATTAGTTATAAATAAAGTACAAAAAGTCCAACAAAAGTGAATCTAAGCATTTACACAATTTCTAATGTCTTTCCATTTCTTCAATGCACTATTGCTTTAATATTAATAATAAATATTTTTCTAGCTTTCTTCTATAAAATAGTCTATGTAGCAAAATGTTGCACAGCACAACAGAACAGCAGTAGGAATACAAAAATGTGGGTGATCCTTTCACCTGCCCGGGGTCATTAAAGGAGAGGGGGTTTTGTTTACTCGCTCCTTGTTTTGCTTATCCCTCTTACAGTGACTTTGTGGGGGAGGACGGCCAAGCTCCCAGTCCCCACACAGCTCAAAATCACAGCTCCAGGCTACAGGGGAGGAGTGTTACAGAGCAGCAAGGTAAAAAACACAGACAGGTTTAAAACCTGGGGTAAGGCAAAGTCAACAAAGCAGCGCAGCACCCTGAAGGGACAGAGAGAAAAGAATTAAGGTACTGTGATTTTGTGCCTTTCTAACCCAACTGAGAATTTCATCCAGAGCCTTTTTGTGGGGAGGATGGCTACTGGCTGAGCACATGCATCAAACCCCACTTCTGCCTGTACACAGCTAAATGTCTGCACTGACCGAGCATGGTTATGGCTTAAAGCTTAAAATGTTATCAGAGGTTCTCTAACCTTCTGGCAAAGCTGGAACTTGTGATACTCAGGGGACTTTGGGGAAAGGGCAATGCATTGCAAGAGTGGTGCAGCCATGGCAGGATGGGGATGCTTGGCCATGTCATTTTGGGGCTGACCCCCTTCTTGGGGGCAGGAGGGCTCGGGAGTGGGTCCCAACTCTACACTGGATTAAAAAGCTCCAAATTGAGGCTCCCTCCTGTACAGGAGGGATGAAGCCAACTGGTCCAGATCAGTGTTAAGTGCTTCTGCCCCATGCATGTGTCAGAGCTGGGTTACAGCCAGTGCCCATGGCAGGCACTGCAAGGAGATGGCAAACGGACCCCGTGTCCATCCCAACCACTCTCAGCTAGACATGGTATCACAGGACCACAGAATTGCCTGAGCTGGAAGGGACCCTAAAGCTCATCTCATTCCACCCCCTGCCATGGGCAGGGACAGCTTCCACTATCCCAGGTTGCTCCAAGTCCCATCCAACCTGGGCATGGATGCTTCCAGGTATGGGGCAGCCACAGCTGCTCTGGAAAATCTGTACCAGGGCCTTCCTAGCCTCTGAGTAAGGAAGCCAGCCCCTAAAAACTGCACTGAAACCCTCAGTTCTGTTGCCTCCAAGCTTAAGTTCACCCTACTGCCTCCTTCATCCCAGCTGGGTGCACACACAGAGGGTGAAAAGAGCCAAACCAAGCACTGATAGACGCCAAAAATTACAGAGCCACCAAACCTGGGCTTTTGACACAATCTTGCACTAAAGGCATGCATTGCCCCTTGCAGTGGGGGCCTGCTGGGTGTTAGTGCAGGGTCACACAAGCAGCAGCAGCAGCAGCAGCAGCAGCAGCATCACCAGAGGCAGCAGGGACAGGGCAGTACCAAGAAACAACCAAAACGTTTTGGTTTATGCAGAGCGTCGTTAACCGCCTTCAATGCGCAAGGACGCAAGTGAAAGGATCACCAGAGTTTGATTATGAGTGCAAATAATATTCATATATATGTGCTAAACACAGTCACTATATTGCAGTTTTCCACTATGTCACAGCATACAGAATCAAAGGTTTGCATTTTTATGGAATGTATCCAAGGTAACAGCACCACAGTAATACAGTTTGTAATCACACACCCTGATTTTTTTCTCTTTTTTTTTTTTCACTGTTTTTGACAAGATAAGCATTACCCCCCACATCCCCTGTTTAATTTTATTTTAAGTACCGATGCATGCAAAGCATTCCATTCTCAGAAACAATGCAAAAATGAGGTAATAGGAGTAATAAAAAAAATTAGTAGTAATTTCTAAATAAATAAATTATAATTGAAAATGCAAAAAAACAACTATAAAAATAATTAAATTAGAACCCACAATATCTACAAGTTAGTCATAAATTATGATTGTTAAATATAAGGCATTTAAACTCACAAAACCCTGTAAACTATTGATGTTTTGTTTCTAGATTTTTTGTTGTTGTTGTTGTTGTTGATGTTTGTTTTGTTTTGTTTTGTTTTTAAACTCGCAATCCTAACTCGCAACCTAGTTGTACAAATTATTTAAACGCAAAGGAACCTGACACACTGATACAACTCCAGACACTGTAAATTCGCACGCATCTTGGGATCAGTCACTCACACGAGACCATGGGAGTTTGGTGCTTTTCTTCATCAAAGGTTTGCTTGGTTTTTTTGTTTGTTTGGTTTGGTTTTTTTTTTTTTTTTCAGTTTGATCAATTTTTTTTATTCTTTTTTTTAAAAACTGTGCTTGTTTATTAGGCAAATAGTAACACTTTCTCATAGGCTTTAAAAGAAAACACAGGGTCCAGAAGTGTTCCTCATTCCCTCCCCACCCAGTGGGGGTGTCAATCCCCCTGTTGCTCTCCCTGCTTCTCCCCCACAGGTCACACCTGGGCAGACCAAACCTGCGCAGAGTATTTTACCACCAAAACCTTTCTTTGCTTGTCATGGTATTAGTATTATTAGTATTATTTGTAATGCTGCTTCAATGCTGGTGGAGCAAGACCCATAGGTATCCATGGGCCACTCCCCGACCCATGGACATCAGGGCTGGCACCACCACATTCCCCAAGAAGCCGTCACTTGTGCTGGGTGGCAAATGTGCCATCAAGTCATGGAATGGCTTGGGAGGGACCTCAAAGCTCATCTTGTTCCAAACACCCTACTGTGGGCAGGGACACCTCCACTAGGCCAGGTCACTCCAGACACCATTCTGTCTGGCCTTCAGCACTTCCAGGGTTTTCTGGACAACCTGTGCCAGGGCTTCCCCACCCTCACAGCCAAGAACTTCTGCCTTATACATCTTCCCTATATGTCACCATTTGTCTCCTTCCTCTCTCTCCCACCTGCTTTGGCACACAATGAGAGGCTCCTGCACCCTCACATGGGGCTTCCCTTCTTCTCTCTCCTCTCTCACTGGGGGAAAAAGTAAATCTCTGTGTGCCTCTGATGTTGGTGTTTTCCAGTTACAGCTCATGAGAATCTTGCAGTTTCTCAGATGAGAGTTTATGACTGAATCTACTTGGGAGAGCATTTCTCTCCAGTGAAACATATGCTCAGGGGAGACAGAAATCATTCCCACCACACCAGCATTTTCAATAGATTATGTTTCTAATTCCCCTGCTGCCTCTCTGCAGCTCCTTTCTCCCTTAGTATGAAAGAAAAAAAAAAAAAAAAAAAAAGAAACAAAAAGAAAACTACAGGTTTTGGTTATGAATGTCAGTTTTCCCGAGGGTTTTCCGCCCGATCCCTGCGGTTGGCGCACTGAGGTCTTTTTTTTTTTGTTTAGGGGGAGCATGGATTGCAACAGCTCACTCCTTTGGGTATTACCTCTTAATTCTGCTTTGAGTGTTAATGTGATTAAGTTTCATTTTAACAGCCACTGTTACTCTGTGTGGGTACGGCCTGAAACACGCACACCAGCCCGCGAGGGCGCGGGTGCGCGCGCTTTGGGGCGGGTCACGGCTCCCAAAAGTGGCAGCCCCACCTGCACCCTGCCTTCCCCTCCCACGACCAAGAGTTCATGGTCTCAGCAGTGTCTTGTGAGCATCGAGTTCTCTTCTGTCCCCTTATCAAGAGATGCTTTGGCAATGGGAGGAGAGTCAACGTTTTGCACCTCTTGGCGCCTTTGTCACGCCCCAAAGAACAGTGGAAGGCGCCGGCTCCTGTAACCATCACTTTGGAGCGGTGCTGGCAAAGCCAACACGCCACACAGCTCACAGAAGAAAGCATCACAGACAATTGCAATCATGTAGACAGAACTTCCTTGGATTTTGATATGACAAGCTACTTTGTTAAAATACAGAAAGCAAAGAAACAGCATCTACTCAAATACTCTGCCGCTACAGAAAGTGTCCAGCACCAGCAGACAAGCAGGAACGAAGCTTTTCCCTATTGCTTCGTTCATTTTATCCCCAATTTTTATTTTTATTAAGCTTCTCTAAATTTGCAACACACTGTAAATGCAAGGGAAAGAAGCACACGCGGCTGAGGCAAAGAGCACAAACCCTTCTGACTGTAAACAGGATTTTGCTTTTTCTTCTCTTTCTCCCACCCCAAGGATGGGGATGTTTGACCTCTTTATTCCCCCCTCTGCAATGTATTAATCAGGCACCAAAATAAGGAATCTATGAAAAAATATTTGGTGCAAATTAGGTAACAGCAACATGTCCACCACAAGATGAGTAGGGCATCAAACACAACATTTCTTAAGCTAACATGCTCCAGCTGCCATCCATAGAAATAGCTAAAGGACCCCTAACATGTTTCTACATATTTGAGAGGTATATATACAATCCCCATGAAAAGCAGGATTGACAGGCCGGACTAACCACAACTAGTTCCTTCATATTCAACATTAAAATCTTCTGCAGCACGGGGTCTCTGAGCTCCGGGAATGCCAGCTCCCTTTCACTGGGCCTGTATCCTGCGTATATGTGCAACATCTCCTACTGCTAGATATTGTATCACCTCCTCCTTCTCCTCACTACCGTGCCTGCAGACTTCCCCTCTCAATCAAATGGCTCAGAAGGCAAAAAATTTCGCTGCAAGGGTGTATGGCCATACGACCTGGTAAGGAAAATGGTGTGTCCAGCCAGTCTTTTCAGCTGTCCGAGCCGAGCTGTGTTTCAATGTCCACCCTGCAGATCGGGCACTTCTTGCTGGTGGCCAGCCACTGGTCCACGCACACTTGGTGAAAGAGATGCATGCAGGGCAACCGCCTGCAGAGAGAAAAACACCACTGTTAGGGTGGAGGAGGTCCAAGGGAGCAAAAAGAGCTGAAAAACAGCATCTGGGGCTGCTTGGAACATGGGAAACATTCCTGTGGTGACACCATTGCCACCAAGGTCCAGCAGCCTTTCCCAGCCATGCCAGTTCACACAGGGCTGGAGATAGTGTCCTCCTTGGCCTATTAGAAACCCCCACACCATCCTGAATTGAGTTGTTTCAGTTATTAATTGTGCTGGCTGCTAATTTTTAACCTTTCAGGAGCAAGGTTATACTCCAAAGCCTCTTGGCTCTTCATGGTTGTGTCACATTAGCAGTCAGGTGGGCCCACACTGTTCCTGCATGGGTGTCCCCAGGGAACCTGGTCACATTTCACCTACATCACTTCTGCCATCATCATGTGTCAACCCTGTGTTACAGGGAAACCTTGAACCACAAGAACCAACAGCAAAAGGATCAGGGCTTTTCTTGAGAATTTAAGGATGAGAAGAGGAGTAGTACTTCTCACCTGCAGTCCCTTCAGCCATGATAGTTCAGCCCCTTGCAATTTCTTGTCCCCATCCTCTGTCTCAAGCAGAGAGTGGACCCAGTGAGCAGCCTGGGATGTCTGTTAGAGACAACTGGAGTTCTGTTACCTGGGGATGGTTCTCTGTCACCACTGGGGCAAAGTAATCCTACTCATTCTACAATAAAGCAGCTGGACACAAGCCCAGCTCTCCTGGACTTCTCACCAACACTGCTTTTTATCATACTTTGGTCATCTGTCAGGCTCAGGTGTTGATGACCCCAAGCTGCAGATGGTTGTCAGAGATCAGTCTAACCTACCCTTCTGTGACACTTTGCCACCTGGCCAGCTGGCACAGCCTGGAAGCAGATGATCCAAACCCAGGGAAAACTATAAAAACCTGGTCCCGTGCTGCAGCGAGGCTCCTCCTGTCTATGGGCCATATCAATGTCCATCTGCAAAGCATTTGGGTTCCCAGACCCCACAACAGCCCAGGTGAGATTCCCAGGACAAGAACAGAGACATTAATCCAAATAAACACTACTCAGACGGCACTGAGAAGCAGAGGAGGGGATGGAAGGATCTCACCTGACGTCCTCTCCATCTTCAAGCATGGACAGACAGATTGTGCATTTCTCGTCGGTATCTGACTCCTCGCCATCGTCTTGCTCAGCTTTGCCTTCCTGTGGTCTTCTCTGCAGCAAGATTGTAAAGACATTTGGTTAGACCTTGCCCTTCTAATGCTCTCCCAAGCCTGGGCAGTTGCAGGAAGACAAATAATGAGATCTCCATCTATCAGCCAGATCCTCCAGCTTGGGGAAGCCAGCCCAGCCAAAACAGCCAGCGAGATGCGTGTGGCACCAACATGCTGCAGGCTGGCATGTCTCCTCCTGAGGCTGGTGGCAGTGCCCCAAGGAGCAGCCTGTCCTCTGCTGCCCTAATACAGCCCCCCACCACTTCCTTGCAGTGGGGATGGCCCCATGGTCTCCTTTGCTGGAGGCTTCTCCTTGGGGAGACCCCAAACCTCATGGTGCCACCACTGCCAGGAAGGGCAGCCACTGTGCCGCACGCCAGCTTGGCCACTGGCCCAGTCCCATGCTGCACCACAGGGCTGTGCTTATCCTGTCAGCTGCCCTTTTTTGTCTTCCCCCACACATCCATTGCTATCATATCCTTTTCCTGGGCTCACTGGAGATGTAATGAGAGACAAGTGCAGCAGGAGTTACCTCACTTCCAACCTGGGCAATGCGACATCCCTACCCTCCAGCCAGGAGTGACCGACACCAGGAACGACGACCCAGACAAGCATTCTTCCCAATTTCTACTGAGCACAACCCAAAAATGTGCCCATTTCCTCATGGGTGGGGAGGTCAGCTTCAACAGAGGAGACACCCTTGGTGAAGCCAGGGGAGAAGAAGGCTCCCTGGGACACAGAGCCCTCACGGGGCAGCGCCGCTGGCATGCAGAACGGGGCGGGTTTGCATGCACCAAGCCCCCTTGGTGGTGTGCACTTTCTTACCAGGTGCAGACAGGGGGGAAATTGCACCCGCTGGGTGGGAGAAGGTTGAGACCCTTTTGAAAATTTGGCCCGCAGCTTCCTAGCCTAGAAGTGAGAAACAGGCAGCTGAGCTACACCACCGCTCCCGCCCCCGGGAGCCCCGCGAGAAATTACAGCACCCCTGCTGCAGTGGGACTGTGACCCACCAAAGTCCTTCCTGCTGCCTGCTCGTGCCCACAGCCCCTGGCTGAGTGAGAGGGGCTGGCAGCCGTGCTGTGCTCTGGGGCACTCACCTTCTTGTACTTGTGGGGGAAGGTGAATCTCTCGATGGTGTTCTGGACGGCGCCCCGGCTCACGCTGCCCAGCCTGTCCTCCAGCTGCAGCAGCTCCTGCGGCACAGGAACATCAGGAAAGTGCCATCCCCACTGCTCCCACCACACAGCCATACCTGCTGGCAACTGAGGCTCCCTCCTGTCCTCTGCTCTGTGGGAATGGCCATCAACCCCAAATCAACCATGCTGTAATGATGGATCTGATCCCTGGCACTTGGGGTAATAACTAAGAGGTCGAGGCAAAGAGCTGCATATCCAATATTTCACAAATTAGGGTGGGATTTGAGCTTCATGTGACAGGCTGGGAAACAAAGCCCCATAGATCTGGAGCACTTTGTTCATAAATGAAAGGAGCCAGAGCCAACCCAAGCCAGACCCAGGCACCTTGGAGTAAATCATCTTTAACCAAACTCAAACCCATCACTTCCCAGCTATCACTAAAATTGATGAAAGGCTCAACGCAACTGCCACACCACAAAAAACTGTCTTACAGCTTTATAGCAGAGCTTGCATAAATTCACAGCCCTTTAAAAATGAATAATTCCAGTCCCCAGATACATACCTCATAGCTCTCCCGCACAGCGGATGTGTGCCTGCTTGGGTTCAGTCCCTGAAGAGCAAGCAGCTGAAGCTGAGGGTAAGGGTAATTTCTGATTTCATGAACAACCTGAAAAAAGTGAGGGAGAAAAATAAAGCCACCTGTATACTTGCCTACAGAAAACCCTTGTGTGCCCTGATGTAAATCTAATGCTTGAAAAATTCAAATTGAAAGAGCAGATTGACATTTTCACCAATTTAAGCCTTTTGATAACAAAAAAATGAGGTTTATCGAATACATTTCCTAGAAATGATACCTAAGAACATGCAACTCCTTCAAAATAAACTGTTATAATAGTTCCTATATCATCCATAGCATTGTAGTTCCAAACCCTCAACATGGATTAGATTACAATGAAATTTTATTTCATTTAAATGGGTGGATTTCTGTTCATTCAAGCTTTGATTGGGTGTTTTTTAAGGCTTGCTTTAGTACACAAGTGTCAGGGTCTGACCCAGCACAAGGGAAAAGCACCCTCATGGGATTTCTGGGGATGTTTTAAGGATTAGCAGTGCTTGGCTTGACTTAGCTCCAAATACAGCACCCTGCTAGGAGAAGGGGTAGAAAATTACGCCAGTCAGTCTGTCTTCACATCAGTCCCACCTCCACCTGTGCGAGAGGTCATGAAAACCTTTACAGGTGGCATCAGAGCTGACGAAGAGAGCAATGATTGATGAGGGATGGTCCTGGGGGCTGACACCAGGGAAGGCAGTCACCCACTGCCAGTCCTTCAGCACACAAAAAGTCCTGGGAGGTCACAGTTCCTTCCAGTGTTAATTATATTATTAATATTAACTGCTGAGTCTCTCACATCCTGCCCACGTTTTGCAGACCAGCTTCTGAACGTGGTGCTGCAAGCAATGGACCGAATCCTTCCAGAACAGCTGAAGCTTTTCTTTTCTTTCTCTAATCCAGTGCAGTGATGCAACATTATCCTTTCAGACACTCCCTCCCACGGCCGGAGATAAGTGGGATTTGCAGGAGACAGGTGATAGAAAGATAGCAGCCTTTATTTTGACTGCTTTCTGGCAGACAATGCATAAAACATTTCTCAGTAAGAGCGTTTCACTTACCACCTGGGTTGAGGATGTGCTTCTGGGGAAGTGGTGCACCCGAGGAGTGGCCAGGTAATGCTGATAGGGCTGGGGCACCGGCCGGACCTGGAACTGGGCGTGGGTCAGCCCCGCGTCCACGCTGAGGTCCCTGTGGGCACCAGGAGGGACACAGGGTTGTGAGTGCCTGGCTGTGCTCCAGGGGACTGCAGCAACCAGACCCCACTCTGGGAAACCTCCCTGCTGAGCTCTGGGCTGTTCCTCAGACTGCTATGGTACAGCTTGGCTTGGTTTGCCAGAGTTTCCTCCAGTTTGGGGAGTCATGGAGTGAGGGGTTGTTTCTCTGCCCTCCCTGGGGGCACCAGGAGGGACATGTGGCTCTGAGTGCCTGCTTGTGCTCCAGGGGACTGCAGCAACCAGATCCCACTCAGGGAAACCTTTATGCCGAGCTCTGGGCTGCTCCTCAGCCTGGCATGGCTTGGCTTGCAAGGGAGTTTCCTCCAGTTTGGGGAATCTCCCACCAGGCCACCATGAAGGAGTGAGGGGTTGTTCCTGTGCCAGGTAGCATTTGAGTTATTTGGGGTCAGAGTCGTGCAGATGCACCCTGCTAATTTCAGAGCAAGAGCATTTTGGTGGCTCAAAATGATACCCAGGTCTGCAACTCAACCTGTCAGACTAGGATCTTCCAGTGCTGCAAACTATTACAGTTTGCCTTGAATGTTTTGCAGAAATGCAGGTAATTACTCAAGGCGCTCAAAAATTGTGGCTTTAGAAGTTTCTGGTAGCTTTTAGAAGCTAGATGGGCACTGTCTGTGGGGTTTTTGGTGTGCCTTTGCTCTCCTTAGAGGTCCCCCAGCCCAGATCATGGCAGGACTTGAGGAGTCAAAGGACACTGTGCCTTGCCTGAATCCAGCCTCAGGGTAGGGAGGCTTTGAGGTGTGAGGGTGGGCAGGCCCTGGCCCAGGGTGCCCAGAGCAGCTGTGGCTGCCCCTGGATCCCTGGGAGTGCCCAAGGCCAGGCTGGATGGGGCTTGGAGCAGCCTGGGACAGTGGAAGGTGTCCCTGCCATGGCAGGGGGTGGAACAAGATGATCTTTGCGGTACTGTCCAACCCAAACCATTCTGGAATTCTACGATTCTATGAACTCCAGAACTATGATTTTTGCAAAAAAATATTTTAAGGTTTAAGAAATGGAAGAAATGGAAATTTCAAGAATTAAGAATTTTCCATTTTAAGAAATGGAAATCAAAAGCCCCTGGATGAGGCAGCTGAAGGAGAGGATGAAACAAAACTAGAGGGCAAACACCAACGGAGCAAGACATCCCTGGTGGCCCTGCTTGCCTGAACACAGCCTGGCCCAGGAGAGCAGAGATGCAGCTCAGCTTGGTGAATCTGAGTACTGTTATCTTCCACAAAATTAACCCAGCTCAGTCCCTGGACTTGTCATAACCAAGATGCCATCAAACATCACAGCTCTGCTCAATCCAACACACAGGGACAAACTACAACCCCACCACTACCACACCATGTGGAGGGAGTGGGAGGGGGCCTATGCAGCATTTCCATCTCTAATCCAATTAGCTGATCCCCATTCTCTCCAGCCTGAGAGTCTCTTGGCAAACGAGTGCTTTGAACATCATTCACTTTATCATCATTTCAAAATCCATTGCTCTAATAACAACTATCTTCACATTTCCCAAAGAAAAGCTAATTAAAGGGTGGCTTCCCATTTCAGCCTCCAACTTCTCCTCCCCTTCACAGAGGACAGCAGCAGTGGGTACCACACCTCCTTGGGAGCAGCCCAGATGTGTCCTCCAGCAGCTGTGAAACTGCTTGCACCAACCAGAGGATGGGGAACTGAAGGGACAGTAGATGTAGAAATCCTTCATCCAGAACAGTCTGTGCACCAGTCAGCAGCAGCACCAGTGCTCTAGAACTCCATAATACCCACACCAAGCTGGATGCAATGACCCTCATGATCCCTTCCAACTCAAGATATTCTATAGTTCTATGATTCTAAGTTGAGGGGCTACTTTTGCTGGTCCTGTGTTGCTGTACAGACAACACCTGGCAGAGGATGAAACACAGCTGGCAACTGGCAGGAACACAACCAGGGGCAGAATCCACAGGTCGTGGCACTTTCCAGCTCCTGTGTCCCAAGTTTGGATATTTACCCAATTGCTTAAGGTTCTTCCCAGGTTATGGAGGGCTCAATTGGAAATCAAGAGGCTTTGGGTCCATTCTCAGCCCTGACACCTTCTTGATGCATGACTTTGATCCACTTTCTCTGTGCCTCCCCATGTTCCCTGTCTATGAAATAGATGTGGTAATTCATGGAGTGCTTTGAGATCAAGGACTGAGAACATCTCTCAAAGGTGAATGGTCATTATTAAACTGCACAGGTAACTGCAGTAACAGGGCTGCTGAATTCTGTGCATCTACAGACTTAAAATCAGATCTTGAGGTTCCTGAGGTGATGCTTTGGGTCTACAGATGTGTTCAAAGAAGAACATGGCACGTAACAGTGTTTTCCCAGGGTTTGGAGCTGAAGAAGCAGAGCACACTTGCTGAAGGGGAATGGAACTAACCATCACTTTCTAGCCCATGCTACAGGAACAAGTGTACAGCATCCTGGTGCTCAGGTGCAAGGTCCAAGAGCTGTGATGCTTGTGGTAAATGGGTTGCCAACAAACAGCCAAGGAGTGAAGGACAAAACACCAGATAAAACAGGTAGGATGGTCATCACTGCATGTATGTGCAGAAGATGATTTAAGGAACCAAATGGGAGTTAGTTTATTCTTCACCAGAAGATTTCAGTTGGAGTTGGACTGTCTGATACAGCCTCAGGTCTTTCCTCCATCCCCACTTGCACCTCCTGTGGCAGCACCCACCACCTGCAGCCTCTGAGAAAACCCTGCTGCTGCTGCTGCTCATCCAGGGGTAACACATTAGAGGGGAGCTTTTGTATTTGTCTCTGGGCAAAACTCTTTGCGTGCCCCAAGGGAAAGTGAGTCACCCAAACATATGCTCCCCGTGTATGGTTCCTGTCACCCCCGCTCCCTGGGGTTCATAAGGCTATGGAGCAACAGAGGAGAGGAAAGGAGGGAGGGGGGAAGGCACTTAGTGATGCTTTATCAGATACTTCTAATGATCATAATTAAGCACTCTGAGCTGAAAGAGAGGCAGAAAGAATTGCTCTATCCAGATGGTGCATGAACTGCTTTGCAATCCGAAAAATGTCATCCCGACCACATTCAGCCCACAGGAGTGCCAATAATGGGAACACCTGAGAAGAAAATTGCAGAAGGATGTGGTCATATTTTAGATTGTGTATTATGCACTGAAGGGGGGAAAAAAGCAACAACCCTGGGTTAAAAGGACTTTTCATTTGCAGAGTGGAGTGCTCAGATGTTAGGAAATGCCATCATTAAGACTTCCTGTACCATTTTATTCCAGTCCTCTTGTGCAAACACATTGCGATTGTCTTTAATTACAAGTTCACATGCTATTTTTTCCATTCAGTGCACAGAATGGACTTTGCTCAGCTTACAAGCAGCTACTCAGAAGAATGTTTTTATTTTCTCATTCTTTTGACCAGGTTACCATACTTTATTAACTGTTCAAGGGCTCTCAACCTGCTCTGAAAATGAAATGAACTTGCAAAGCTTTTCCAGGGTATTAAACACTGCAATTGGAGAATGATGAACAAATCTCCATTCATACCACCCTGCATGGCAGGGTAGTAAGGTGCTCCCTAATTTGGACCACAGAAACTATTATGGCCACTGGGTTTTGAGTGCCTGAAGGACAGCAAAGGGTCTAGTTCAGGCAGACAGTGGTCTACAGGAAAAAAACACCCTCTGTGCCCTACAGCACAAAGAGCAACTTGGGAGAATTAATGCTTGGCTTCACTATTAATCTGTAGGTGAAAAGTTACGAGCAACAACAATGGAGTGTGCCTAAAGGGGGCCAGTGGAGCTGGGGAAGGGAATGGAGCACAAATCTAATGAAGAGCAACTCAGGGAGCTGGAATGGGGCTCAGCCTGGAGAAAAGGAGGCTCAGGGGGGACCTTGTGGCTCTGCACAACTCCCTGACAAGAGGGGACAGCTGGCAGGGAACAGGATCTGCTCCCAGGGTACAAGGGACAGGAGGAGAGGGAATTGCCTCAAGTTCTGCCAGTGGAAGTTTAGATTGCCTGCTAGGGAAAATTTCTTCATCCAAGGAGCTGTCCAGCCCTGGCACAGCTGCCCAGGGCAATGCTGGAGTCCCCACTCCTGGAGGGATTTAAAATCCATATTGATGTGGCACTTGAGGACATGGGTCAGTGGTGGACTTGGCTGTGCTGGGGAATGGTTGGTCTTCACAGTCTTAGAAAGCTTTTCCAACCTAAATGATCCAATGATTTGTTTATATAGGAGGCTTTCACACTCTCACAGACCTGTCAGAGATGAGTTTTCCCATTGCACACTCCCCACACCATAACCACTGAGCTGGCTCCTTAGCTTTCACCAACGCCACAATCCCTGGTGGCATTCCCCAAAACCGACAGCCTTCCCAGGACTTTTTAAACACCTCATTGGGTACAGCAGTGAAATGGGGATCACTCACCAGTCAGTGCCCTCTGCCAGGTACCTGGGCTGGGGGCCCATGGGCTGTGGAGTCTGCAGTTGGTGGCTGAAGTCGAAGCTGGGGTGCAGGCGGTGAGGCTGGACAGACATGCGCTCTTGGGCCCGCCTGCGGGGGGAGAGCAGCAACAGGCAGGGTCAGGCACACCTGGGCACTGCAACTCCTGCCAGGCAACCACGGGCAGCCCCCAAAGGCTGGGCTTGTGGACAGGTGTCCAAAGCCAAGCACTGCAGGCAGGTGTAAGTGGAAGGGGAACCCAGGGCTGTTGTTCCCTCACAGCCATCACACAGCAATCCACTCTCAGGCCCTGTGGCACCCAGATATGCTCAGTTTGCAGCAGATGCTATTTGCTGGCAATGTGCAGAGAAGGAAGGGAAGCCAAAAAACTTCTCAGCAGCTCTGTGCAGTTTGCACTATTTCCTTTTCTGCTGCAGTCAGCCCCATAAACAACACACAAAGTAAAACGTGCCCCTGCTCCAGCTGTGATCCATCATCATAAAGAAGCTGCAGGTTGTCTCATCTCCTGTGCAGTCCATAAACTCCTGGGGAACCTCATTCATAACCACATTACTCACGAGTGACTGAAAGCAGAATTTACTCTCACTGGCCTTTGCCAACATTTCTTTGGATGATGGACAGGCCAGGCTGGGTTCCAGGTCCTTCTCCCTCTGCTCTGCTGCCATTGCAGGCAGGGAAAAGAAAGTGCTAGAAAATACAGCAAGGTTTTTCTTGGGATTTGAGTCTCATGATTATTGCTTGTTTGAACTACTCAGGGGAAGAGTGTGTGCTGCTGGATCAGTGTCCACATTTGGCAAGAGACAAGGAGGATGCACAAGCAGGATTTGCATTACAGACAGGCTCCTACCCTTTGCTTGCTGACCAGTTGAACCATCAGAAAGAAAATCTTCAGGAAAAAACTAGGGCAAATGGAGCAGGGGAGACTGCCAGGTTAATAACTTTTCATGCAGCCTCAGTTCAGAGCTTCACTCTCAAAGGCATAACTCATATTCCCATTACTGGGACCTCCTGCCCCACGCCTGTAAGTGTTCTGACATCCTGCTCCACTGCAGCTTTCAAACACAAGCACTGGGGCTGGGCAAGAGGTTCCTGCCTTCTTCTATACTACAGCCCACTTGCAAATACAACACTGACAGCATTTACCAAAGCAGGTTCTGCATGAAATTGTGCTCTGTGCTTTTATTTGAATTCAGCTTATGACTAAGAGATAAACACTTGTATCATCAATTTCTCAGCCTGGAACATACTTGCTACCCAATTATTAGCTAATCATTAAATCCACCTAAAATCCAGTTTATGCATAACAAAACAATGATGAGAAGAACACACAATTTTCAGATAGAAAGGACATGGAAAGAAAGGGTTTTCTATCCATAGCATTCTTTCCAAATGAAGCATCATTGCAAAGTCTCATCCTCTGATTCTTGATCCATGGGTACAACCCACAAATAGCTTCCATATGTTTCCAAAAAAATCACTCCTCTCTCTCGAAACTCAATCAAGACAAGGCCAGGCATCCATTTCCATCTCTGCTGAGTTACAGCAATTCTCTCTGCGTTTGTCAGCTCAGTGTGGATTTAGGAGGCTCTCTGTGACAGAGTGTGCTGCAGGTCACTGGCATCACTCCCTCACAGAGACAGAAACCCAACCCTGAGCAGCACGACCTCCATGTGTATGACCTGATGAGGCAGGTGGGCATGCATGGGTTTGAAACAGCAGCTGTGAAGATGCAGCTCACGCAGGCAGAGACTGGAAAGGCCCCCAGCAACACCACCGTGATTCTCCCAGGTGTGACAATAATGGGACACACCAGCTGGGCACAGCAGGGATCCCCACAGGAAGGGCGCACCTTCAGGTGCAGCCTGCCCTTCAGGTGGGTTCATTTTCAGTGCACACAGGTGAGCTGGAGACGAAAACCCAACCCCACCAGCGCGGCTGTGGCTCCGCAGGCAACACGCGGTCGGCGCGGCCTCTCCACATCCTCGGGGATGCCCTTACCTGGGATGGGGCATGAGCCGGCGGTGCTGCGCCTCGAGGAGCTGCTGCTGGAGGAGGTATTGCTGGTGAAGCGCCTGAGGTAGGAAGGAGGGCCCGGCCACGTCCTGGAAGGGCAGGGCGGGCACGGGCGGCAGGGGCTGGTGCAGGGCGCCGCTGTGCTGGTGCGCGGGGGCCATGTGGGGAGCCAGCCCCGGCTGCGGCTGCACCGCGTGAGGCAGGGCGAAGTCGGCCGAGAGCTGAGGCTGGGGACCCAGGTGGAAGTGCCGGCAGGAGGTAGCATGGGGATGCTGAGACCTTTGAAAGGGAGCACCTGGAAGAGAAGAGCACATGGCCGTCACTGATGTATTTTCTGAAAAATCTCTCCACCGGGATGTTTCCTCCTGAGAAGCTTCAGCTTTTTTTCTCCTGAGAAGCTGGGAAGCTACAGCTTCTCCCTGTTTTGCTCCTTTGGAATGTGATTTGGAGAATTGCTTACCCAACATGTGAATTGTTTTTAATTAATAGCCAATCACAGCTATGTCGGGCTCTCTGAGTCAGTCACGGGTTTTTTATTATCATTCTTGGCTAGCCTTCTGATGTCTCCTTTCTCTTTCTTTAGTACAGTTTTAGTATATCATTGTAATATAATATAATATAATATAATGTAATATAATATAATGTAATATAATAAAATAATAAATCGAACTTCTGAGAACTTAGGAGTCAATTCTCATCTCCCACCCCATCCTGAGACCCACAACAACACCGCAAGAATTAATAACCACATACAGTGGTCATAGGGGCCAGCAGTGGTCAGGACAGAGCACCACCCAGGAAAAGAGTTGGACAAACAGCTGTCACTCTCCACTTGCAAAAGGTTTGTAAAAAAACACAAGTAAAAGGGAACAAGTTAAAGCTGATTACAAGAGTGCTAGTTTTGACTAATGGTGTTTCTTATCCAAGAAAATGCTGGAGCCAAAACGTAGGTTTGGGTTCAAAGTCCTGTTTTGGCTCCAAGTTGAAGTGTATGCTAATGAAAACTGCTTTGAGCTTGTTTTGGCTTTCCTGTCTTAAACAGAAAAAGAAAAAATTTTTAACAGAGCCTTTGGAGATAGAAAAGGGAATGATGGTTTTAAACAAAAAGAGAGGAGACTCAGCCTAGATAAGAGGAAGACATTTTTTGTGCTGGGGATGGTAAGGCCCTGGCACAGGTTGCCCAAAAAAGACATGGATGCATCCTCCTTGGAAGTGTTTGAGGCCAGGTTGGATGAGGTTTGGAGCAACTTTATCTAGTAAGAAATGTTCCTGCCCATGGCTATGGGGTTGGACTAGACGAACTTTAAAGGTCCTTTCCAATATAAACCATTCTGTGATATAGACTCAAACACTCTAAAAAAGGAAATAAACAACAAAACCTGTTTTCTAAAATATTTGGGTTCTGTATATTATCCCACAGAAGTTTTGAGTGTTTTCCCTGAACTGCAGACTTTTCCTGCAAGTCATTTCTTTGCCTCTCTAAAACTGTCTCATAGGCAAGGAAATAATCTCTGCTGTAAAAATCTTCCTCACACTGACTTCAGGACATGAGTGAGACAATTTCCCCTCTGACAGCAGGGATGGAGGCCCTGTGTGTTTGCTGAGATCCTTCAACAACCCATCCTCATGGGCTACAGGCAGGGAGAGAACAGTTGCTGGAAACACAACATGGAATGCTATGGGACCAGCCATGAAGCGGATGGGAATGAGGGAGAAATGAGGTGTGAAAGATATCCATAGTGGAGGCATTTTGCAAAACATCTGGCACTGGCTTGCACCTTGCTCAAGATCCCCTCTTGGACAGGCCCTTGGCCCAGTCTGGCCTGTTAATTCGTACATTCCTGGAGCACTTACAGGCACTATGCAAAACCTCTGGCTCTTTAACTGGGGAAAGAGTCAATTCAGAAATGAAGGATGGGGCTCGAGTGAGGCTATTAGAGATGCCTCTTTGCTAAGGATAGCCTCAGGATGGGACACCTGCCTTTTTACAGTGTTTTGAGCACCCCATCTTCTTCTTTCTGTTTTAATCTTTGTGAATGGTACAAAACATCCCAGAACAACAGCACCAAGAGAAAGTATTTCATCCCAAAGCACAAGCATGTACATCATGCCTTCTTCACCCAAATCCCTCACATCTCCCTGGCAGGCAGGGCCAGTCCATCACAGCAGCTCAGGGAGTCCTGAGCAAGCCAGATGCCAGCAGGAGAAACAACAGGAGAGGGCCTGTCAGAAATGGATAGGTTTGCAAAACTGTGCATAATTACACACAGCACCTCTTAAATGCAAACTAATCCTCCACAGTGCCCCTCTGAGAGAGAGCAGGTTACACAATATGTGCCACCCACAGCAGTGCTTCTTGAGGTGATAATTTCCCCTGCTGTCAGATAACAGCATGATTCGGCCACGATATTAATTAAAGCCAGAGGTGGTGGGATCAGACCTGCTGCTCCTCAATGACAGAGCTGCAAACCCAGGCCAAAGAGCCACTCACATACCCTGTTTCCCTGCAAGTTGAATTTGTTGCTGGTGGCCTGGCCCAAATTCACCACAAAGAGGTAAAGGCTGCATAATAATGGGGATCCTGCACTTCCCCTGGCCCATTCCTGGAAGGAATAGTGAGGAGAAGCCTCTTGGCTGCTGTGAGGAGCTCATGGTGAATTGCTCAGCCTCTGATGGCCACCTGTGCTCTCCCAGGCTGCAGCAGGTCACAGGTGAGCCATTGTGCAGGCCTGGAGACAAGGTGTGCGAGCAGGTGAAAGTGTCACACCCTCTGCACACACCAACACTCCAACCTGTGCCACCACGCTGAGGTTCAGCTGAATTCCAGACAAAAATGCCTTCGGGCCATACCAGACAGTGAAACCCAGCAAGACTCCCCCACATTTCCTGGGACACGTTCTCTAGCACATAAGTGAAGCAGAGAAAGCCTGTCTCTCATCTGCTGTGACTCTCTTGTCTCTCGATGCCTGGTGTAACCTCAGCCCTTGATTCCCAGCTTTTACTGAGTTGTGGGAACCCTTAATTCAGTTAAATCTCTGGAGGGCCTTTGATGCCAGAGCCATGGTGAGCTAGAGAGCACCAGGTGGGCAGATCAGCTGGTCATGGTTTTGATTTGGATTTTGCTTCTCATACAAAGAGAGTCCTTGAGAGGAACTCAGTCATGCACTTTCCCAAGGTCCAGAACACACAAACTTTATCTGTGGTATGTGTGCAGGAAGATACACAGAGCTAACCTATCTGAAAGCAAAAGCCTAACTCATTTTGTTCTGGTACAGAGTCAATTAGCCTTATCTGTAGGAACTAATTAATTAAATAAAGCATTTTTCAGTATTTTTTGCTAGTGCCTACTGGTGCAGTGATGCATGTCTCTTCATTGGAATAACACCGTCAAGATGTGACCGAGACCATATGATTAAATAAAACCCATCAATTTGTCTTAACATAACACATTACCCTACGTAGTAATTGTTCATTCTCTTCAACTAATCCAATTGCTGATGAGGATTTTTACAGCAAAGCAAAGACTTTGGGGAATACTTCAGCAATCCTATGCTTATTAGCAGTTATCCAATTACACTGCTGGCATAACCAAGCCAGTCTGCAAAACAAAGAGCCAGTCCTCACTAAGCAGGGTGCTGGTGAGCCCCAGAAAGCCCTGGCAAACAAATAACAGCTCAAAACAGAAGATTACATTTTAAAGTTAGCTGCTTTTGAGTTTACCTTCTCCTGCTCATTGCATCTAGATGCAAAAGGCCCTGGTGGGGGTTGCTTTCCCAGCCCACGTTTTGGTCTGGTGTACAGAAGGTAAATGCAGTGTCACCCTGCAAACATGAGCTGAGCATCCTTGTCCAGGTAGCTCACCACAATCAACAATCAAAAGCAGGCACTCATCCCTTTGAATTCCACAGAGGTTCACACATTAGCAGTGTCAGGGAATCACAGGATTTTTAAGGTTGGAAGAGTTCTCTAGGATCAGAGAGCTCATTAACCCAGAGTCGTTGTGTTCAACCCTTGCCCCCAGGTGCCACATTCCCATGATGATTGAACACTTCCAGAAGTGAGGACTCCACCACTTCCCTGAATGCCTCCTCCAGAGCCAGACCACACTTTCTGTGAAGAAATTTTTCCCAATATTCAACCCAAATCTCTCCTGGAACAGCTCAAGGCCATTTCCTCTCATCCTATCCCTTGTTCCCTGGGGCAGAGCCTGACCCCCACCTGGCTGCCCCTGCTTTCAGGGAGTTATGGAGACGCAGAAGCTCTATTAGTGATTACTTTGCTACCACAAAGTCTTCTCCCTCTTTTCCAAGCCACAAGCGTGGTCCTAGATCACACTTGCATTGACACCAACAAGCATAAGCATTGTCCATAAGATACCGCAAGAAAATTGAATTCACGGATTTAATCTGCTTTTTGCCTGGATAGCAATGTCTGCCACAGCAGAGACTAATCCATGACTAAAACCGAGTCCTGATACCACATTCCAGCTTTTGTTTTCACTCCCCACTGCAAGGGCAGAGCTGACACTTCCATTAGCCAAGCTTTGGGGACACATCCACAGCAAAGACAATGAGGAGGCAAAGTGTGCCTATCATGCTCCAGGATCCTAGTTCCCCATCACCTGCCCAGTGGTGCCCACGTGAAGGCAATGTTGCTCTGGGATCAGCAAGGCAGAGACTTTCTTTCAGCTTTATGAGCTCAAGTTTTGGTCGTCATACCACAGAAGGATTCTCCTCCTCCATTGGGATACTTTGATTTTGCAGGAAGAGAGATTAGCCAGATCTTGGATGTTTTTATGGGCTTACCCTCCATGTCCAAACACCTGCCTTCTCCAGCCCAAGAGACAATCACAGAATCCCAGGACTAAGGTTGGAAGGACCACTGGAGATCATCTAGGGTCCCTAGAACACATTACTCAGGATTTTGTCCAGCTCTTTAATATCTCTAGGGAAGATTTTCAGGGAAGTCCACAGAGGCAAAATAAAGTCCTCACCAGCCCTAGAGAGGCTTTTGACCCAAGGCCAGCCTGGAAACACCTTTTGCTGTGCCCAACCTGCTGGTTGGGATGAGAGAATCAGCCCCTTCCATGAGGCTCACTGGCATGCTCCTGGTGCCTTGAGTAATTCCAGCTGCCCCTGTCTGGAGCTGTGGAGAACTGATTTACCTGGGATACTGTCAGGCTGCCCACCAGCCAAAAACCATTTTGTTGTCCTGACGGTGCTTCCTTTCATTTAAATGCTGTTGCTGTAGCAGATGATGACAGCTCAGAGCAACATCAGATCAGCAGCTCTGAGA